TTTTTTTGTTTTCTGTACTCCGTTTAGGGTCTTTAGCAAACTCGCGGTAGTTAACGTTGAAGTTTTCTTTTTCAGCCGCGTACCTACACTTTAAGGAGCCCCAGTGGCGCAGTGGTTAAACGCTCTAGCCTGCTAACTGAAGGGTCGGCGGTTCGAACCCGCCAGCCGCTCCTTGGGAGAAAGATATGGCAGTCGGCTTCCGTAAAGATCACAGCCTGGGAAACCCTATGCGGCAGTTCTGCCCCGTCCTATAGGGTCGCTGTGAGTCGGAATCTACTCGATGGCAGTGGGTTTGTTTTTGGATCTAAGCTTTTTATGGATGTAGGGCAGGTGACCTACGTTTGGTGTAGGTCTTCGCTTTTCTTGTTTTGATTAGAAAGTGTGACCGAATAAGCAAAACACACCTTCCCCCGAGGGCTTTTGTAGTGTTTTCCTGGATAAGGGAATTTTTAAGCGTTGTTGAGTATGCCTGGAGAGAAATCGCTTTTCTTTTTAGGTTTTTGAATTCAGCGTAAGTGATTTAAACTACTCAGGCAGGATAATTAAGTCACTTCAGGGAAGGTGGGGTGGTGACGTCATGAGCCTGCTGACTCTGGCCCTGCCTGGGGCTGCTGGTGGGCTGGGAGGGTCTCACCCCACCCCTCTCTGTGGTGTTCAGATTTGAAGTGCCAGCTGCTAAATTTCATCATTGAGAAGAAAGGGAATAATAACGGTTATTCAGGGATGTCACTTTTGAGAACTAAGGTATGCCTGACCCAAGTCCTGGTATTTTTAGCCACCTCATACGGGTGCGAAAGCTAGACTATGAATAAGGAAGACCAAAGAATTGATGCCTTTGAATTATGGTGTCGGCAAAGAATATTGACTATACCATGGACGGCCAGAAGAACAAACAAATCTGTCTTGGAAGAAGTACAGCCAGAATGCTCCTTGAAAGTGAGGATGGTGAGACTTTGTCTCGTGTACTTTGGACATGTCACTAGGAGGGACCAATCCCTGGAGAAAGACATCATGCTTAGTAGAGTAGAGGGTCAGCAAGAGAGAGGAAAGAGAGGGAGACCCTCAGCAAGATGGATTGACACAGTAGCTGCAGTAATGGGCTCAAACATAGCAATGATTGTGAGGATGGTGCAGGACTGGGCAGTGTTCCGTTCTGTTGTCCACAGGGTCGCTATGAGTCAGAAGTGACTTGATGGTACCTAACAACATTCAGGGATGGACTTACATGAGTTTTTAAATGTTGGCTTTGGAATGTTTTTGAAGAGACTTAAAGCAAGTGCTGTATGATCCTGTATCTGTGAAGACGATTTTAAATAGATAATTCCAGTGATTGCCTGACTCTCATTTGGCATATACATACTTGGTGGCACAGTGGTTAAGTGCTGGGCTGCTAACAGAAAGGTCGGCGGTTCGAACCCCACCACCCACTTCACGGGAGAAAGATGTAGCAGTCTGCTTCCATAGAGATTTACAGCCTTGGAAACCCTGTGGGGCAGTTCTGCTCTGTCCTGTGGGGTCGCTGTGAGTCAGAGCTGACTTGATGGCAACGGGTGTGGGTTTTTGTGGGTTTTTTTCATACTTGGTGCTTAGTGTGTGTGCCAGGCACTTCTCGGGCATCGGGGGATTCTCGAGTAGGATCACAGCCTGCCTCCAGGTGTTGCTTGTGGTGGAGTAGGGAAGCTAAAGTGTGTCTAAGAAAAACCAAAGCGAGAGGCAGAGAACAGCCTGCTGTGAGAGAGGTTCCGGAAGACTTTCATGCAGTTGGAGGAGAGCAAGTTTCCTTACGGCCTTGGAGGTCACCAGTGGCTTCTTGGAGGAGGCGGCAGGTCGACCTGAGCAGTAGGGCCGTGGGAAGGCTGAGAAGGGCGTGCCTGCTAGGCAGGAGCAGTTCTCACAGTGCACAAAAGCACTTTCGGTTTGGCCCCACTGCGGTTAGTGAGGTCAGTGCTGGGCCAGATGTTGGCCGTTGGGCAGTATCTGGCTGAACATTTGCGATTTTGATTAGCAGAGGAGGGCCAGTGGGTTTTTGAATGGGTTTTGATTATAGTTGAGAACACTTTAAGGAATTAACAACGATAGAGCAACTCCTCAAGAACTATGCTTTCTTACTGAAGCTGTTGGCTGTGCCCAGGTTAATCCTCTGTGACGTGAACTTAAGCCGGGTGAGTGCGTCTGTTATGTTCCGTGTTACTGAGTTTGTTTTTACTCCTCCTGTCTGCATCTTCGGCGCGCATTGCAACTTCAGGCTTAGAAGGAGCTGTTTGTTTTTTCACTTGCCCGAGTGGGTTTGTTCTGTTTGTTTTTCATTCATTCGCTCGTTTTAAACTTGACATGGTTATCCTTGGTGGTGGTGGCTTTTAATGGTTCAGTCTCATTTGTCTTTGCAGTTCGCCTCGGTATCCTTTCCCGAGAGGCATCCCTGGGGGGTGTAAACGTTCAGCATGCGGCAGCTAACTGAAAGGTTGGCAGTTTAGAAGCAGTTTTTCACAGGACGCTTACCCATGATTTTAAATTGCTCGCACAGGACTTGTCTCCTCCCAAAGCTAATCTGCGCTACAGTCTTCGGGACTCGGGTTGATATGTGTATTTCTCTAACGGTCTACCTATTTTTTCCCGTTCCCATGGGAAGCAGACGTGTCGCAGCGTATACACCTCTGGGTACTGGCCTGTGCAGCCGGTAGCAAGACCTGAGGCGACGTGGCCGCGCAGCGTCGCGGCTCTGCGGTGTGGGTGGTGTTTGCCTGGGGACGGCTGCAGACTGCACTGTCAGAAGACCACCCCTGCAGTGGTGGTGGGCACAGTCACCAGCCACGGGCTGAGCCGGGGTGGTGCCTCGCCTTCTTAGTGTGGCTTCCAAACTTCTGTTGAACTTTGACATGTACGATACGTGTACACAAGTGCACGTGTCATACGTGTTGGGCCTGATGAATCTTGTAGACTGAACACACCTATCTGTCACCCTGACTCCAGCCGCCTGGATCAGCATTGCCTGGTTCTGTGCTTTAGAAGAGAATCCCACACTCTGCACTGCTTGTTTCAGCCTTTTCATTCACCGTCGCGTGGATGAGGTTTGGCTTGTCATTGAGTGTAGCTGTGTGATCCTCCTTGAAGTACAGTGGTGTTCTATGTGACTGGCCAGTCTACCAGCGGTGGGCATTTGGGCACCAGTGTCTGGCTGTTATGATAGCGCTCCCACGGGTATGCTGGCAGACGTATGTGCACGTATCTGGCAGGCAGCACGAGTAGCGTTTGCACTCCACAGCAGGGCCTACGCCCCGCGCACGCGTGGCATCTCCGGGGTGTTCATGTTGGCCGTTTTGGTGGGTGTGGTGTTTGTTTGCATTTCCCCGAGGATGATGACGTTGGGCACTGTTCTGTGCGTTTACTGGTCATTTTGATATCCTCTTATAAAACGTCTGAGTTTCTTGCATATTTTTCTTTTGGGCTGTCTACTTTACTACTTTTTTCTTGTGGGACTTATTTACGTATCGTACAAACCTTTTGTCAGAAAGATGTATCTGAGTAAGGCAAGGAAGATGGGTGCCAGCACAAAGCTGGGGAAGGTGGCGTAGGGAGAGAGGAAGGAGAAGGACGCAGTTCCTGTGTTGTCCCATCTGCTCTGGCCAGGACGGCTTGATTCCTCTCAGTAGATACTATGACCCAGAATAAGTGAAGAGACAATAAATAATAACGTCACTTTCAGGTGACTCTCAGACTTCAGGCCCAGATAAATTGCATTTCAGAGTGCAAGGGCTGACTGCAAAATGTGGGCTCTGATTCCCTGGGTAGGTGTCACAGGGCCTTGTCATGGTCTCAGCTTTACACCTACTTTTCACGTTTGGGAGGGTGGCTGATAGGATGTGGCTCCAAAGCTGGGAAGGTAGGTCAGAACCAGTACAGTTCTGACCTTCTAAACCGTGGTGCAGTAGCTCGAGCAGCCAGGCTTGGCTGCGCTTCATGTGAGGGTGGAGAACCGCTGTGCCGTTCTTTCTTGCCGCCACAAGCTGCATGTGAGCCAGCAGTTGGACATGACTCTTGAGGAGATGGGCGTATTTGGGTTGCACATATGGTGTTAGGAGTCCAGGTCTTAGAAATTAATGCAGCCTCATGTGGAAATTTGAGGGCTTCATCAGGTCTGAACAGTCACTGACACCCTGGTGTGGAGCTGGAGGTGGTGGCCAGCATGTGTGGCCAGACAGCGAGCGATTCCGGGGCTTCAGGAGTCAGGACGGTTTGCCGGTTGGAGAGGAGTCACAGGAGACCTTCGTCCTGGAGGTGTGGAAGAGCGTCTATTCCTCACGCTGCCCTGCCCGGCCTCTCATTGGCTGCTGTGCCCGGATTCTAGAACAGCCCTTCCCCTGTCCTGAGTGTCCACCCCTGGGGTTGCCTGCTCTCTGGCCACTGTCCTTGTGGCCACTGCCCTCCGCTGGGCACGGGTGTTCTCTCTCCCCACTGCTCTCCAGAGCTTTGCACGGTGCCTGCCACACTGGAAGTGCTCCCTGGCACTGGGAAGTGCTCCCTGGCCCTCGGGAAGTGCTCCTTGTACTGGGGAAGTGCTACTGGCCCTCGGGAAGTGCTCCTGGTACTCGGAAGGTGCTCCTGGTACTCAGGAACTACTCCCTGGCACTCGGGAAGTGCTCCTTGTACTCGGGAAGTGCTCCTGGCCCTCGGGAAGTGCTCCTGGTACTCGGAAGGTGCTCCTGGTGCTCGTGAACTACTCCCTGGTCCTCAGGAAGTGCTCCCTGGCACCGGGAAGTGGTTAGCGAATGGCTGGAGCCCAGCGCCAGTGTGGACAGTAGTGAGGGCCGTGTGGCTGGTGGAGGTGGCCAGTGCAGCCCCCTCATGGAGTGTCCCACAGAAGCCTGTCCACTGGGAGAATGACAGGAGGGGCCTGTGGGCGGCAGTCAGATGGGGGCCTCCAGAGGCTCTGAAAATGCAGTGCTCGGAAGTGTGTGCCAACTGACGGCATTTCTGCAGGGGAAATAGTTGTGACTTTGTGCGGCTCTTATGTGGGAGGGCTGAGCATCCATGGAGCCCACCCGCCCCAGGACTAACTCTCCCTCCCTGCCCTAGGATGCTTTGCGTGTGGGATGGAGAACGGCTTCCGCGTCTACAACACCGATCCCCTCAAGGAGAAGGAGAAACAAGGTAAGGAGCAGCAGGTGGGGGCTTTGGAGGAGTTCACAGGCGCCGGGCTCGGGGCTTTGGAGGAGTTCACAGGCCCCAGGCTCGGGGCTTTGGAGGAGTTCACAGGCCCCGG